CAGTATTTATATAATAGAGTATCTGTACCTTGAGTATTTATGTACTGCAGTACCTTCAGTACTTCTCACAGTTTATTTCTCAAAGAGTCAAACAACAGTGTTTTTTTAATAAGATGTGTTTTTGTACACCGTCTGTGGATTTCGGTCCGGGTGAGTGCTCTTTGTCACAGACGATCTTTGTGTCCTGTCCAATATCCTCGCGAGATCTCGGACCTCTCGCGAGAGCGACCAGCTGTTGAGGCTAGCTGTGACGCTGCTGCTCCGAAACATCGTCTGTAAATATAGAAACCAGCGATGTTCCGCTAAATTTAACGTCTGCACCATTTTACCAAGCCGCTGGTGTTTGTTCCTGCGGGACGGACCGAACCATGGAGGCCGGAGAAGGTAGCGAACACTTTGTCCAGCTCGCGGGGGCAGGTGCTGCTAATGCTACGGCTAGCTTAGCCTGCTAACGTAAACACGGCTAATGTGACGTGATTCAGTTTGAATTAGAGCTCAAGCTGCGGTGATTTCAAAATCTGAGCCACAATTCACCAGGAAACGATCATTTCTACATAAAGTTTATTATAGTTAATGATATAAATCAACGATCAGTTAATTATCAGAGATGATCGATCAGTGCATCATATTTAAATTCTCCTCATCACCTGAAATCACCTGTTCAGATGTTGGTGCGTCAGAGAGCCACAGGTTTCTCACCACAAGATTTAAAGTTAAATGTTTAAAGATCGTTTTATCACAATTAACAGTATTACACTGTCACAGAAAAACAGAGATGATCCGATGTGATGTGTATTTTAAAGGCTGTGAGGATGATGGGAAATGTAGTCCCCGTGAAAACATGACAAGTCACCTGATGACAGGATTTTAACCACATCTGGATTTAACCCTCTGTCAGGCGTCAGCAGCGCCACGCCCACAGAGGAGATGAACGGAGCAGGAAACCTGATGGACTTCCTGGACGAGCCGTTCCCTGACGTGGGCACGTACGAGGACTTCCACACCATCGACTGGCTCCGAGAGAAGTCCAGAGACACCGACCGACACCGCAAGGTCGGACCGAGGTTTCCGTACACGGGACGGGGAAGAATCAAACTAGCAGAACAACTCTGTCTCAGTTTGGTTCCTCTGTCTCCGATCAGAGTCTGAAGTCTCCTGGTCTTTACTTGAATCACACTTTTCTCTGTCCTCGTCTCTGTCCTCGTCTCTGTCCTCGTCCTTTGTCCATCAGATCACCAGTAAGAGTAAAGAGTCCATCTGGGAGCTGATCAAGAGTCTGCTGGACGCCTGGTCGGGATGGGTGGTGATGCTGCTCATCGGACTGCTCTCAGGTCAGCCACAGAGGAACGGACTTTTGAAAGTCTGGAACTGCTCCTGATCCAGGACGACCCTCTGACGCCTCCTCTCTCCGCAGGTACGCTGGCCGGAGTCATCGACCTGGCGGTGGACTGGATGACGGACCTGAAGGAGGGCGTCTGTCTGTCGGCCTTCTGGTACAGCCACGAGCAGTGCTGCTGGACGTCCAACGAGACGACGTTCGACGACCGCGACAAGTGTCCGCAGTGGCAGAAGTGGGCGGAGCTGATGACCGGCCACGCTGAGGTCAGACCCCGCACTCGCCAAAATAAAACCAACAAAACAAATGACCCTTTCTCTGCCATCGTTATTATCACGACTTTTAAAAACGCTAATTGCTTCCCTGTCACAGGGCGCAGGAGCGTACTTGTTGAACTACTTCCTTTACGTCCTGTGGGCACTTCTGTTTTCCTTCCTGGCCGTGTCACTGGTGCGAGTCTTCGCTCCGTACGCCTGTGGTTCAGGAATCCCAGAGGTGAGAACCAAACTAATGTCGGTCGCAGGGATTCAGAGAGGAGCGTAGAAAAGAGGAGACTAAACACAAAACATCAGAAATCTCATACGTTTCCAGTTTCAAAGCCTTTTATATTCTTTCTTCTGCCTTTTAAGTATTTAACGACGCGTCAAGGCAAAAGTAATAATTCTGTATTTCCACCAATGTACAAATATTCAGCTTTTCTCCATTTGTTGTAACGGTAAAATAAAAACAAGTGGTTCCTGGTTCTAAGAAATGTTATCGTTCTGATGTTTGTTCAGATCAAGACGATCCTCAGCGGCTTCATCATCCGTGGCTACTTGGGGAAGTGGACCCTGCTCATTAAGACGGTGACCCTGGTGCTGGCGGTGTCGTCCGGCCTCAGCCTCGGGAAGGAGGGTCCTCTGGTCCATGTGGCGTGCTGCTGCGGGAACCTCTTCTGCAGCCTCTTCTCCAAGTACAGCAAGAACGAGGGCAAGCGGCGAGAGGTACAAGAGTTTACATAAGACACCGAAACATCGGTGATGAGACGCTTTCATTCGAAATGTGAAAGCGAGGGCGGGAGTTTATATTAATCTTCTTCACGTTTTTCTGTGTCAGGTGTTATCAGCCGCCGCCGCAGCCGGAGTATCGGTGGCCTTTGGCGCCCCCATCGGAGGAGTTCTGTTCAGTCTGGAGGAGGCGAGTTATGGTTTCATGAAATATGAAATAAAATATGAAATAGGATTTTGATGATCGCTCGTCCTTCTCTCCTGCAGGTCAGTTATTATTTCCCTCTGAAGACTCTGTGGCGTTCGTTCTTCGCCGCGCTGGTCGCCGCCTTCACGCTGCGCTCCATCAACCCGTTTGGCAACAGCCGGCTGGTGCTGTTCTACGTGGAGTACCACACGCCGTGGTACATGGCGGAGCTCGTCCCCTTCATCCTGCTGGGCGTGTTCGGGGGCCTCTGGGGGACCCTCTTCATTCGCGCCAACATCGCCTGGTGCCGGCGGAGGAAGACCACTCAGCTGGGGAAGTACCCGGTCCTGGAGGTCATCGCTGTGACGGGGATCACCGCCGTGCTGGCGTTCCCCAACCCGTACACCCGCCGCAGCACCAGCGAGCTCATCTCTGAGCTGTTCAACGACTGCGGCGCTCTGGAGTCCTCACAGCTCTGCGATTATATCAACAACCCCAACATGAGTCGACCAGTGGACGACATCCCGGACCGACCGGCGGGACCCGGGGTCTACAACGCCCTGTGGCAGCTCGCCCTCGCTCTGGTCTTCAAGATTGTCATCACCATTTTCACCTTCGGCATGAAGGTCGGTGCGAGGAAGACGATGAGGAATGTTCCGTCCTTTAGTCGTTGTTAGTTTCCTGAAATGTTTCCGTCTCCTCTCCAGATCCCCTCAGGTCTCTTCATCCCCAGCATGGCGGTCGGAGCGATCGCCGGGCGAATCGTCGGGATCGCAGTGGAGCAGATGGCGTACCACCACCATGACTGGATCATCTTCAAGAACTGGTGCCGCCCCGGTGCGGACTGCGTCACACCCGGACTCTACGCCATGGTGGGAGCCGCCGCCTGTCTGGGTGAGTCGACGTTAGCTGTGTCCTTGTGTCTTTTCCGTTTCATGTAACTAACCCGCGGAGGTCGTGTCGCTGTAGGCGGAGTGACCAGGATGACCGTCTCCCTGGTGGTCATCATGTTCGAGCTCACCGGGGGGTTGGAGTACATCGTCCCCCTTATGGCGGCCGCTGTCACCAGCAAGTGGGTGGCCGACGCCTTTGGGAAGGAGGGAATATACGAGTCGCACATCCAGCTCAACGGCTACCCCTACCTGGACGTCAGGGACGAGTTCACCCACCGCACGCTGGCCACCGACGTGATGCGGCCGCGCAGGAACGACCCTCCTCTGGCCGTCCTCACGCAGGACAGCACCACGGTGGAGGACGTGGAGACGCTGATCAAAGACACGGATTATAACGGCTTCCCCGTGGTCGTGTCCCGAGAGTCGGAGAGGCTTATCGGCTTTGTTCAGCGCCGCGATCTCACGCTCGCCATCAGTAAGACGCTTCAGCTGGTTTGAAATAAGTTTCACACGGTTCAATGTCGAAGACAACTAAATCAAAAGTTTTCTCCAAACAGAAACCGCCCGTCAGAAGCAGGATGGCGTGGTGAGCAGCTCGGTCGTCTACTTCACCGAGGATGCGCCGCAGCTGCCGGCCAGCAACCCGCAGCCGCTGAAGCTGCGACGCATCCTCAACCTCAGCCCGTTCACCGTCACCGACCACACGCCCATGGAGACGGTGGTGGACATCTTCCGCAAGCTGGGGCTGCGCCAGTGTCTGGTCACCAGGAGCGGGTAAGAACACGACGCACGGCGCCGCGACAAATGAAAACTGTTGATGAAAATTATTTAAATACCTCTGACCTCGTCCCCCCCCTCCCCCCTCCACAGGCGCCTCCTCGGCATCATCACCAAGAAGGACGTCCTGCGACACATGGCTCAAATGATGAACCAGGACCCGGAGTCCATCATGTTCAATTAGCGGCGGAGACGAGCGTCACAGCAGCGACGGTGTAAATATGTGAAAACTGGTGCGACACTACTGAAAAGCCCCTCCCACCTCCTGACAAGGCAAGTCCCGCAAACAGCCCCGCTCCGCTCGGCGTGTTTTTCCCCGCTCCTCGCCGCCGCCGTGACGGAACGCTTCTATTTAAAAACCTCCACATTTCAAACCAGAGCGAAGACGAAGACGAACTGATTCTCTCTGCTGCCACTGAGGAGAAAAAAAAAAGAAAAGCGCCCGCTGTCACGTTGCCACGCGTTGTGTCAGTTTCTTCTTCTATGGTTTGTTTAGCGCTGCTAGTTTAAATAACACATTTAAAAAGTGACCATGAGGGCGGAGCCACAGACGAGAGCAAACACATTTCTAATAATCTTAAATCGACGCCAACGACCTGAAGCCCTGAGGCAGCGCTCAGCGACGTCCAGCTCCCGCCCACAGTTTGTTTTCATCACCGATGCTGATGAACGCGTTAATCTGGGACCACGTCGTGTCGCCGCAGGTTTTATTTGACTGTTGCACTTTGTGTTGTTTTACATGTTGCTGCCATATTTATATAATTAACGCTCGTATCAGTGTGAAACACGACTCGTCTCCTGCTCTCGTCAGGTTTCACCGTCTCTGATCTCATCGTGTCAAAAGGTACAAAACAGCCTTAAAATGTGATTTAGTCTGATTCTCTGCAGAAACACACACGTTTGTCATCGAGGCCTCTACACACACACACACACACACACACAC